ATTAATCATGTCTTGCACTATGGGCACAATCTCTGTTGTTATCCGAGAAATTATTTCTGATTTCATTTTTTCCAGATCCTCTTTTGTTGCCAGTTCAGGGAGTCCGGGTGGTTTAGTATCACAATGTTCTATCTCCTTTCCCTTTGGGGTTGTTTTAGGCGATCTGGAAGTCTGGTTTTGAAACTTGTTTACATGTCTTCTCATTTCGAGGGCAGTGGTGGGGGTTGCTGCTGGCGCCCATGCGACTCACCTTCTCTGTGCCTGCGGGGGTGGTTCGGCAACCTGGAAGCCTCCTCTTGTGCCTTGGGAGTGGCTCATCCTCCTCTGGGCTCCCGGGGGTAGTACGGCAGCCCAGAAGCCTCCTCTTGTGTCAAAACTATCTAAATTTCTGTCATTAAAAAAAAATCTAGGGCTGGGGATTTAGCTCAGTGGTTTCCCCGCCTACCTCGCAAGTGCAAGGACCTGAGTTCTATCCCCAGTACCCCAAAAATCTAATATGACCAATCGATTTTACATTAATTACAAACCTACTAGAAGAGAGTACAACAATCAGGTGTTGAATTTTTAATACAATTTCATGTTAAATTTTGTAGGAAGGAAGAAATGATTTCAGAAATGTATTCAGTATTAATATATCAAAGAAAGAAAGAGTACCTTCTTCTTAATTGACACACTGAGGCCCAAAATTCATCCTTCAGTCCATTAGTGACACACTATTGCACTGTGGTTTAGAGCGCAGAGTTTTATTATACTCCTTTCAAACAAATTCCTGGTAGTGTCACCTTGGTTGAGCCATTAGGTGTAATTCTTCTGAACCTTAGGTGCCTCATCTGTAAAAGGGAGTTAATCCCATTGGTTGTGAAGGGTACATGATAATATTTCATGGAATGCACAGTGCCTGCCATTTGAATGTTAGTTGGAAATAGTATAATAGTTTATAATTTTAAAAAAACATCTTAGTAAGTGAATGAAATTTTTATGCCTTATAATGAGCTTTTATGTGAAACCAAGTGTAGACCTTAACACTTAATAGTAAAGTGCTAGAGATCTTCCCTTTAAGTAGGAACTACCAGAATACCCACTATTTATTAATAGAGAATAGTAAAGAAAACACATGTTTAGGTATTTGAAGGACGAAGACAAAATTATTTATAGGATAAGGTTGCCCACGTAGAAAGCATAAAGGAATCAATTGAAAAGTTATTAAAGCTTCAAGAAAAGTTCATTACATTTCTTTTAAAAAGTTGTTATAGGGCCAGGGATTTAGCTCAGTGGTGCTGCCGCCTGCCTTGCAAGTGCAAGGTCCTGAGTACGATCTCTGGTACCAAAAGAAGTTGTGGCATTGAAATGCACATCTTTTCTGTATTTGTGCAGTATTCAGATGCATATGTAGTATACATACACAAACCCATATACATGAAAGATGATTTTCCTGGCAACAGAATATGAATTACCTAGGAATCATTTTTAACAAATATACAAACCTATATTATAAAAATGAGGTTCCTTATGTAAAGAATTGTGTCTTATAAGGTGTCAGCTGTTCTGTATTTACTCATAAATTTGATTTATGTGAAATGAAAATTCCAGTGACACTTTGTTTAGGAGGAATTATTATTTTTTCCTTAAATCCTTTTATTGGTACATTTTAGGTATACAGTATGTTTACATTTATCATTAGGTGCTTGTACCTGAACATGATGTATCTTGGTTCTTATTTTTTCCCCATTACTTGTGCGCCCTTCACCCCCTCCACTCTTCTCTATTTACATAGACTTTGTTTCCTTTTTCTTTTCTTTTCTCATAATTTTTCCTTTCCCTTCTTTCCTTTCCCCTTCCCCTCCCACCACCCCTACACCGTTGGACCTTTTCTTCCTATTTCAGATTATCAGTTATTCATTTTAATCATTTTAATTCTTATTTATACTTTCAGTTTCTCACACTAGAGAAACTAGTTGGTATTTATACATGTGTATGCTATTTATTTCACTTGAGTATGGCCTCAATATGCATCCATTTAGCTATAAATGTCTCTAGTTTCTCATTCTTTATGGCTGAGTAGTACTCCATTTTATAAA